ATAAAAGGGAGGTTTAGCGTGAGTCACATTATGTGATTTTTAACTTTACATAAGTAAAGAACTTCTTGTCTTCGTCTACCTGTGACAGGTTTCGATATCGACTTTTCTTTTGTCGACTCATGCTAAACCTCCCATTTTATACTCATGTATCCCTTGTCGAACATAGAAAGATGATTGTAAACTCGACACATTTAGCTCAGTTCGATCAGTCAAATCTGGATCCTGGGAGGGGAAATTGTGGATCAAAATCTTGTATTTTATAAGATCACTCCAAAGGGATAGCTTCAGGATTCAGGGATTGTGGACCAACAATACAAAACAACCCATAGTTCATTTAGAAACGAAGACACTACCAAATTCTCCAATCAAATCATTAAGGGTGAAAAAAGGCATATTTTCTCGTGACATTCTGTTCCCCATCTTATGTATCAGATCAGAAACGAACAAGAACAAAACACACCCAAAAATATATATAATTCCGACAAGAAAATCAGAATCAAAATTCAAAATCAATCCTATAAAACTGGTGAGCTACTACCCCTTTTTCTGCCCAAGAACTCGTGCCTTTATGGACCTTTTCAGTATAGTCTCCCTTTTACTCTTTGAACGTTACAAAACAACACATTCCACAGGCATCCAATTCCTATCTATGTTCTTCAGTTTTTTATTTTTACCATCTTGCACTGTAATCAGGCTAGCTTTCTGCAAAAGAAAGCCATTTTTGTAATGAAGTAGGATCGGTAGAAATTTAGATTCTAGATTTTCGATAAAAACCCAATAAATAGTGTAGTCTCTACCGTTAAAAGGGATTTGAATTATGAGATCCCACATCAGTTGGAGAGGGGAATGAAACATTCCTTGGTGTGAAAATCTCTCCCTAGTAGATGCGTTTCAAAATCGTGAGGCTAAAAGCGATAAATAACGGGCCAAAGCGGACAATATTTGCTATTTGTGGGTTTGGGCTGTTACAAATGGTATCAGAGCCAAACACCAGGCGATGTATCAGCAAGGACTCTGGCCCCAACATGAGTGGATTGTGAGATCTCACATCGGTTGGAGAGGGAATGAAACATTCCTTATAAGGGTCTGGAAACTTTTCCTTAGTAAACGTGTTTTAAAACCATGAGACTCACGATGATACGTAATAGGCCAAAGCAGACAATATCTACTAGCGGTAAACTTGGACGGTTACAATGGTATTAGAGCTAGACACTAGACGGTGTGCCAGTGAGGACGCAGGACCCCCAAAGGGGGGGTGGATTGTAAGAATCCATATCAATTGGAGAGGGGAATGAAGCAGCATTCCTTATAAAGGTGTGGAAACCTCTCCTAAGCAGACACGTTTTAAAATTGTGAGATTAACGCCGATACATAACGGATCAAAGCAAACGATATTTGTTAGCTGTAGACTTGGACTAGCACATGAACATTACGCATCATTTAGCTATCATGTACTCAAACTAAACACGAAACTTAACACGAAATTCTAACTCAAATAACGAATTAATACAACATTTTTATTAAAAAGAAACAAAGTTGGTTTTGTTTCAGTTGGTCTTTTACTGCACAAAGAACAGGAAAGTTTTAGAACTCAAAAAAAGGCTGGAGGGGCGTTGAAGAGACCAAAAGTGGATACAAACACAGAGTTTTAGCATTTGAAGAAGATCATAAATAATGTGGAGTGCAAATTCAAGCAAGTTTTGGGAATTTTTGGGAATTTGTTCATTCTTTACCTGTTCTTAGGCCACCCACCCATATTACATTAATGATACTCAATTAAGATAATGAAGGGAGTATTATAAATATTGCATAAGAGGATATGGATATCATCTTCAACATGTTTGGCTTATTGTTTTAATACACTTGAATTCATGTGATAGCGAGTCTGTGGCACACCATGTTTGAATAGTGTAACGATTTTGTAAACTCGAATTTACGTGACATGTTTTTGGTTCGTAGATTTTGTAACATGACACTGTATTCTAAAGTGATCAAGGACGAAGAGGATTCTCTCTTGCATTAAATAGGCACGTAGAGTGTGGGTAGGTTTTTAGGGCGAAACACACATATAGAACTAAATTGATTTGATTTAGTTGCTTTCACTAAATGGACCGATGTCAATAGTTTTTTATTTCTTGAGATGTTTCGAAATCCGTCTTATTTTGGTGAAATTGTATGGTAATCTATTTAATGAGTTTGACGTCACAAAATAAATTAATTGTATGTTGAGAGTCGGCCCACTTTTAGCTGTTCCAGCGATTATGCCCATTTTAGCCCTATCGTCCACCCCTATCATCATAATGGAAAGGGGTACTTTTGAGCTGATATGTAACGGATCAAAGCGACCGTTAGTCGGGCTGATCTGTGATTGGTCAAGGCGAGCGAGAGGACACATACCTCCTCCATATTCCTTAAATGGACAAGACTCAGATGCTACATGCGAGAAGTATAATAGTTTATTGAAATAAGTAAGATCAACTCAATTATTGAGCTATTTAGGATTGTTAGGTATATAATTAACTAGAACTGGGTTTTGGTCGTACCTTTCTATTATATCCCAATGTCACTGCTTGTAGATATTGTCCACTTTAATCCGTTACGTATCATCGTCAGTCTCATGGTTTTAAAACGTCTTTATTAGGGAGAGATTTCCACACCCTTATAAGTAATGTTTCGTTCTTTCTCCAACCGATGTGGGATCTCACAATCTACCCTCATTGGGAGACCAGCATCCTCATTAACACACCGCTCGATGTCTGGCTCTAATACCATTTGTAACAGTCCAAGCCACCAACTAGGGAAAGGTTTTCATACCCTTATAAGAAATGTTTCGTTCCCCTTTCTAACCGATGTGAGATCTTACACTTTCCATCCACAAACCTGTTGTGCTTATTGGGTGATATAGAAAGGATTGTGATACGAAAATGGGATAATCTTATAATAGAAATCATTGTGATAATGAAGGGAAATACACATTGATGGGTCGACCATGTTCATCTTTCGCTGGGTCAATCTCAAACCTCTTGGTTGGCATTCGTGGTGGCCGACCTCATGAACTCGACTAACACTCTTCACATACCCTTCTCCACTTTTGATGTTTACTAAGATATCCTAAATTTTTTTACACGTGAATAAAAACACTAATAAACGATTCATCAAACTATGTTATTAGTACCAAACTTTACTATTTGAATTGAAATCATGATTCAATTTTTGTTCGAGTTTTTGTTAATGGAAAAGAGAGTGGTAGAAGTGTCACTCCATATATAGAAATGAACCTAATGGCACATGTTTACATAGTGAAACATCAAACATTTGGCCAAACACAACATCCAAACTCCACTAATTCAATTTTCGTAAATTTCTTCGTCATATCAAAACTTGACTTGTTACATTTTTATTGGCTAACTTCAAAAGCTGCACCAAATCTCTGTTAATACATCTGTTGATATCGATAAAAATGTCGAGATCTCAATTTTAAATAAAAAATCTTTTAATGTTAAGAAGGATGTCGGGAGAAGCTCATCAAACCCTTTTTAACGTGTGTCGGGAGCATCTCATTGTAATGAGTCTCTCTTGACGTTTTTACACTAGTGTCGTGTCAGAATAGGCTCATTAAAATGGCTAAACAATTATTATTTTTAATTAATAAAGTAAATATATATATTTCATTTTATAAAAATAAGTATAAAAAAAATTTACTTAATAGTTAATTATTTTTACATGAGTTTAAATTTAATTTCTCCTTCGAATTAAAAAAAAACTAAGACGGTAATTAGAAATTAAGACGTAAATAGGAAGTGGGCCCCACATGCACAAATTTTCATGTCTGCTCTCACGTTACGTTACCCCTAACATTGTCGTGTGTAGCTGTGACACTGGTAAAAGAATTTTCGGTGACGTAAGCGTCGGAAAAATGATAAATATTCATATTTTATTAATTACAAATAAAACCATCAACAACTTCACATGCCAATAATGTTACTCTTTCTATTATTCTTTTTAAATTAAATAAAGCTTTGTACTCTCTTGAAATTATTTTTTAATTAAATATATATATATATAAATTAGCTAATGATTATTGAGTATTGTGGTCGTAAATTACAAAGTCATAATATATGATACCGAGTAATGAAAATATACATGAATGAATCATGATTAGAGCTGAATAAGACCGATCACGAGGATAAGATGATTACTTATACCATCAAAGCAAACATTTCTTTTTGGTGCTCAAGTAACTCCAAAATTAACATTATTTTGCTGAAAAACTCATGTTGTTGTTCGACATTTGAGGACTCTATTGACAGGCATGACTCTGATATCATGTTAGGAATCATACATCTCCACAATAGTATGATATTGTCCAGTTTCAGCATAAACTCTCATGGCTTTGTTTTCGGCTTCCCAAAAGGCCTCGTACCAATAGTATTCATTGTTTATAAACTCATGATCATTCCCTAAATTAGTAAATTAAAAAAATTCAAGATTTACGAAATAAAGAGGAAGTAAAACATTTAAAAAAAAAAAATATTTCCAAAACCGACCCATGAAAAGTACCTCATTTTTGTCGTAATAATCAAATATCATTTAAAATGCACGAGGAACGCCATTTTAATAATTTCACCTCCAAAATATTTATTTATTTAATGTTTAAAAATTAAATACCTGAATTTTAATATAATAATATCTTTTAAATATTCATTAAACTCTAATTTTTATCTTTTTAAATTAAGTTAATAAACACTAATTTTATTATATTATTTACATTTCATTTATGGTTTTTTAAAAATTGGACTAAAAATGATAATGTTTTATTAGAAAATATTATGTAATTTAATTAAATGGTTAAAAGCAATTAAAAAGGTTTTAAAAAGAACAAAGAACACTCACATTGTTCTTGTTTGCTTGTAGCAAGTGTAGAAGCAACTGAGCAAGTGGATAAGAATAAAACCAATTACTGTCAGTAATTATTTTTTTTTTACTGAAAATTTACTTATCCATCCATTTCTCTCCCTATATAAACTCCTCCTTCTTCCTCTCTACGCCGCCCTTCTCTTTCCGGCGTTCTTCATTTCCTACTCCTTCTGTTCTTTTTCACCTTAACCAGATCGACGAAATGGACATTCTCTTCTTCTTCTTCGGTGCTCTCGGTTCGTTTATTCACCGTTTTTTGATTTCCGAGTTTGTTCATCTTTACAGCGTTTTCAATTTACTTTTTGTTTCGATTTGCAGGAAACGCGACTGCTCTGTTTCTGTTCTTATCGCCAATGTATGTACAATAAGCCTCTGTTTCTCTGTTTTTTTGTTCTTGCATGTTCTTGGCTGCGATTTCCTCTTCCGATTTTCTGTTTCTTAACCTAATCGGCTCTGGATTCGACTCTATTTCTTAGAATTACTTTCAAGAGAATCATCAAAAGCAAATCGACTGAGCAATTCTCCGGCATTCCCTATGTTATGACGATGCTTAATTGTCTTCTTTCCGCTTGGTACTCTTTCAGATTTCAAATTCCAAACTCTCTCTGTTTTGAACGAATTCTGATTTGTGAAAAATGATGAAGGTACGGCCTGCCGTTTGTGTCGCCACACAATATATTGGTTACGTCGATCAACGGAACAGGAGCAGTGATAGAGATCGTTTACGTTTTGATCTTCATATTCTACGTTTCGAAGAAAGAGAAGGCGAAAATGGGAGCGCTGTTTGCGATAGCGATAGGCGCGTTCGTGGGCGTTGCGTTGGTGTCGGTTTTTGCTTTGCACGGCAAAAACCGTAAGGTGTTCTGTGGTTTGGTTGCTTTGGTATTTTCAATCATTATGTACGGCTCGCCACTATCCATAATGGTAAGTCAATTTTTTTGCAGAACTTCTTTTCTATTTATTGCTTTAAAAGGTCAGAATCTCAAGCGCTTTCTGCTGACGTTTTTTTTTATCCGAAGGTAATAAATGAATGATGAAATGATAAAAAATTGGAGTACAAACATTTTTGAAATAGAAGAAATGGAAATTTGATTTGAAGTTTGTGGTGTACAGAGAACAGTGATAAAGACGAAGAGCGTCGAGTTCATGCCATTTTTTCTGTCGCTGTTCGTGTTCTTGTGTGGCACGTCTTGGTTCATATATGGCCTTCTTGGTCACGACCCTTTCCTTGCTGTAAGTATTATTGAACTCGAACAATTTTCTAGATCAATCTAAAATTTTAAAATTAAGTTGATTCGGTTGATGAAGGTAACAATCCTAGTTGAATTCACAATACAACCATCTGTTTTCATGTTGGGTGGTGTTTTTTTTTTTTTTTTACCTACTGAAATCTGAGGAAATTTAAATTTTATAGATAATAACACTAACTAACCTTAATAATAAAATTAAATATTCTTAATATTGTTAAAATTAATAGGGTTGAGTTGGATTATAATAGTTGGATCATGTTGACATGGAAATGGAACTTAATTTATGGTTTTACAATAATTTATTCAACTTAAAGTGAAAAAAAAAAAAAAACTAATCCACTAGTTGGACTTCTATGATTTGAATTGGGTAGTCCATGTTGGTCGGGTGTTTGGACCATGTGAACACTCTTATTTCCAACATCATTCTTTTGGGTTTTTTTTGCTTGGTTCTAATACCGTAACAATCCGTGCACATATATAGCATCATACACTCTCTAACCTCAACAGATATTGGATGCTTATTTGAATCTCTGAATTCTAGATCGAAAGTATATGTTTATTGGATGCTTATTTGAAACTTGATCGAAAGGATGCTTATTTGAATCTGGGAATTCTGGATTGAAAGTTGAAAGTATATGTTAATTAAGATGGCGGGAAAAGGTGGTTTGTTTATAAATGCAATAATTGAGGTGCATGTAGGTGCCAAATGGGTTCGGATGTGGCTTGGGAGCGCTCCAATTGATTCTCTACATGATCTACCGAGGTCGGCAGCCAAGGCCAGAGAAGAAGCCCACGAGCGATGGATCCAACGTGGAGATGGACCAACAGAAGCCCCAACTAGAGAAGCCACAGGCCACTGCCAAAGTGGGTCGCGATGATCAAGTCTAGACACTATGTGCTTTGTGATGCCCTTCTAAGTTATCCTACTACTGCGTTTTACAGTTTGTGTCGGTGTTTTTAAGCTTTCGGTTTTGTTGTGGGTTAAGAATGGACAAGACGACATGTCGATCTGCAAACCGAACAAAATGGTCGGAGAGGAAGAGGAACGACATGTCTCGTTGAACCATCTCCCTCTTATGTATTTCGAACTTCCAAATTGGTGAGTTACTCAAGGAATAACCTCAAAATGGTCATTTTCTTGAATAAGACTATAATAAGTAGAGAATTGAAGAATAATAGAGTTATAAAACAAACTTAATGGACAACAATATATGTATCCTATCACGAAAAATAATAGTAATGGAAACAAGTTTTATGGGTTCACACAAGACCGTTTCCTTTTGGGACGATTTGTATTTTGTGTAACAGGCCGAAGTGGATAATATCTACCTGCGGTGGGCTTGAGCTGTTACAAAATGATATCAAAGGCAGACATCAAACCGTGTGTCATTTAGGATCCTAGCCTCCAAGAGGGTATTTCTTATAAGGGTGTGGAAACTTATCCCTAGTAGACGGTTTTAAAACTGTGAGGTTGATGACGATACGTAACGCAGAACTAGGCAACCTTCGTTCTTTCATCATCATTTTTTCATCTATTTTCATCTAATTTCAAATGAATTTAAATTTGTGTTAAAATATATTAAGAAAATATTAAAATTAGGATTAAACTCAAACTAGATTAATCAACTAAACAACAAAAGTTTAGATTTTATCGTTCAAGAATACGACAAAATTGTTTAAAAAACGTTCAGCTGATTAACTGTAAGATCTACTACTATCATTATCATGATACTCCACGACAAAATATATTATTTCTTTTAAATTAAACGACAAAAGTTTAGATTTTATCGTCCGACAAAATACGACAAATTTATCTTCCTTTTTATTGACAAACGTACAATGGAAAGATATTAAATTAAAATATCTTATCCATGAATTACCTTTGAGCTATACTTATATCATTATCACAACACTCCGCGACAAAATGAGTTATTTTTTTTAAATTAAACGACAAAAGTTTAGATTTTATTGTCAGACCGAGTATGAAAAATTTGTGTTTTTTTTTTATTTTATTTTTTTTCATTTTATTGACAAGGTAGAGTAACAAAATAGAAAATTACTAAATTAATTAACCATATTTGGGTCATTTAATTAACTATCTTTTTAACAAAAAAAAGAAAATTAAATAATTAATGAAGTTTTACCATATTTCTTCAATAAAAAGTGAAGATAATATCATGGTTAATTACAAAATAAATAATTATATATATAGAAGGAAAATCAACAAATTTGAAGATATTTTAATATTTATTAGAGTATCAAGGAGTATTACATAAAAATAAAAAAATTAAAAATTAAAAAAAATACAAATATCAAAGTCCATAACTAATATCTCTATCTAATAAATTTTTAAATATATTCAATTTTAAGCAAGATTATATTATTTAATAATTATTAAAAATTTAACTCTTAGCTAATGTATTTTATATTAGTTAAGTTATATGTTTATGTTAAAAATTGATTTAATATATAAATATTTAGATTTTATAATAATTAAATTTTTTGTTCATAAAAAAATGATCAGCTAGAAATTTTGTAAAAATTAATAATATTTTAAACAATTAAGTTTCCATATTTAGATAGTTTTTTTAATTAAGTATTATCTGTGGTTTAATTAAGGGGAAATACATTTTTAAATATTTAATTACACATAAAATTATTGGGAATTTTTAAAATTTATAAACTAATTAAACTTTAAATAAATTTTTGGGCAGTTTAATTCTTTATATGATTAATTAATATAAATATTTTTGTTTATTTATTTCATCAATTAATTAAAATTTAAATTATATATTTCACCAACTACAAATATAACTTAATTAGTAAGATATCAAATTAAAAATGAATGAATAAATAAATAAATATTTTTCAGAAGAATTAAAAAAGAATAATGAAGATAACATCAGTACAATAAAGAAGCACACTTTATTATTAAAAACACGTGCAAGGCACGTGAGAGAGTACATTAAACAAACGCGCAGCAGGAGGAAAAAAGAAGTAAACGTCTAAGTAACTCCTAAATTCCGCCGGCCGGCTGGCTGTGCTAGGCTACCGGTTTGTCATATTTCAGGCCGGAAGCCTCTCCTCCGCCGCCGCCGACGCCTCTGCCTTACCGGAAGGCGGAGTCTCAGTCATAGCTTTTATAGTTTCTGGTCCAGGTTCGGCAGCATCCTATAAACACAAAAAAACAAACTCATGTGTCATGATAGAAATCAAAAGCAAGAAAAACATGAAAAATGAATCCTTTTGGATGAAAATTTAAAAATTTGATCCAAAAAAACAAAAGGGGTTTCTCAAAATCTGTTCTTGAGAGGGGATTTTACAATGGCATCGACGAGGCGCTGTTGCCTGTCTATGGCCTGCATGGAAGCCAATGCCTGCAAGATGGAGACAAGGTTAGATTAAAGAAGAGGGAAAAAGGACGTGAAATGTAGAGAAAAGAGTTGAGGAATTGAATGTACCCAGACCATTTGGTATTGCTTCTTGGTAAGGGTCCTGGGCTCGGATGTCAAGGAGAGTGACCTCTCGAGCTTGGCGTGGCCGTTGGTTGCCATATTTGGGTGGCCGGAGGAGGTGAAGGAATGTTGAATGAGGTGGGATGGTGTTGATAGGTGAAAGGGGAGTGGGTATATATAGTGGAGGGGGGAGGGGTGGAACAGGGGTCGACGCCAGTGAAGCAATGGGGGACGTGGCAGCCATGAGAACAGTGCAGAAAAACTTGCACATTTGCCGCTTTTTCTTTCTACTGTCTCTAATGCAACCGTTTCTCTCCTACTCTTTTATAATTATGCCTTTTTTTTCCTTACTTTCTTCCTTTCTTTTCTTTCCCAAACAACTTCGCTTTCTAAGATTTGATAGACACAAACTTCGAATGGTCCTAAATCGTAACCGTCTAGACTTACTGCTAATGCATATGGTTGTCTTTGGTAAGAGTTCAAGCTCATACTAGTATATGTTGTCCTTTTTTTTCTCTCTCGGCCTCCTCTCAAAGTTTTTACATTTCAAAAAAATGCCACTAACTTTCCTTTTCTGTTTTGGGCTTCCCCGAATGGTTTCAATGATTCTTTCTCCTCCCCAACTGATGTAAGATTGCACAATCCACCCCTTTCGAGGCTTAGCGTCCTCGCTGCCACCCGTTTCCTTCTCCAATCGATGTGGACCCCCCAATCCACCCCTTTTTGAGGCTCATCATCCTTGCTAACACACTGCCTTATATCCACTCCCCTTTGGGTCTCAGCCTCCTCACCGACACATCGCCTTGTGTCCACTCCCTTTTGAGGCTCAGCCCCGCTTGTGTCTATTGGCTCTAATACTATTTGTAACGTTCCAAGCCATTACTAACAGATATTGTCTTCTTTAGACTTTACCTTTCGAGATTTCCCTCAACGTTTTTAAAACCCATCTACTAAGATGAGATTTCCACAGGAAAAATATTTCGTTCTCATCCTAAATCAATACAAAATCTCACATAAATAGACACCAACTATACTTGATGAGTTGAATTGGGAGTGAAATTGAAAAAACAAAAAATGGGTATTTTATTATTTATTATAATTTGTTGGATATGTGGAGGGGAAGTGAGGGGGTTTCATTAATCTCAGGCCAATTCATTAATTGCTTCACTGCGTCTTTTCCTCTTGTTTGTATGTTGCAGCTTTGGAAACGGTTGGCCACTCGCCTTTAATACCCCTCCTCCCTCCTTTGAACCACAACAAACAATCACCACTCCATTAGGGTTTCACCCTTTTCTATTGTAGCACCACCGAGCGACTGTACCCTCGATCACGTGTTTTACATACCAACTAGCCATACCCGAATACATAATCTTATTTTCAAAAACATAGCAGGGTCTAAGTGAAACTCATACATCTGAAAGTCTCAATCGTCCAGCTCAAATTCAACTTCAAAAAAAGAAAAACGACAATCCCTATTCAAATCCCTCCAACGTACACTTTTAAACTTACTCAACACATGCTTAACATTCCATACTCACGCTCTTTACGAGACGTAAGTTTTTGTTTTTGTTTTTTTCTCTCAAATGAATTAAGCTCTAATTGGCAACAAGTTAGTATTTCTTTTATCAATTTTATCACTTCTACCCATAGTTTATATTTTTTTGGTTTGAAAAAAAAAATGGTTTTATGTTCCCTCCTTTGGTTTAATCTTGTCTTTATTTCATTTTTATTGTTAAAAATTGTTTTTAATAATCATAATTAATTAATTAATTAATTAATATATTCTGAATTAGTAGACAAATGATATCAAATAATCAGGTACAGCTTCTAACACGTATTTTATGTAAATATTTATTGATCGCAGAAAAAATAAAATATATACCGTCAGATTTTTAATAGAATATTTATGACAATAAATAAATATAGCGGTTTATATATATATATATATATATATATTCTCTAGTATTAAAGAATAAATCTAATTCTTCAAATTTTGACATAATAAATAAATAAATAAATATTACATCATAATAATAACAATTTTTTCACAATAAATAAAAATGAAAAGATTCCAAACACCCAATTCATTTGGGCTTTCCAGCCCTTTTCCTATTGGGCTTCCACGTTTTGGGCCTTTCATATATTTAAGCATAAAATCCACACACATTATAGTATGATAAATATACACATAGAACTATATTATATAAAATCATATTATATAGTATAGGTAATAATCCTATTTATTTACGTATGGTTTCTCATTGTTTATCGTAAATACATAAAGTTAATGCTAGTTTTAACTTTTATATTTAATTTTGTGGGTATTTTGATATTTAAGAATTAAAAAAATAAAACTAATATTTTGAAATTTAAAGAATGAGAGAATACTTTTTAATGATAATAATAATAATAAAAAAAACAATTTTCTTCTGATTTGCCGTCCTAACAAATATATATATTTTTAAAAAAGGATAGAAAATTTTTATTTAAAAAAAAATATATATATATAGAGCGACGTGGCAGAGAGTGTGGCTGGGCGGCGTCCAAGGGGGGAGGGGTATAAATGTAAAAAGAAATAAATAAATAAATAAAATAAGGTTTATATTTGTGGGCTAATATTCATGATTGGAAATGATTCGGTATCCTTCCTTCCATACCCACCCCATCAGTCATCTTGTCGCTATTCCACTTTCCGTTTTTACCCTTTTTATTTTTTACTCTTTAATTCTTTATTACAGTATATTCTTAACAAAAATAATTACCATGTTTTTTTTTTATGTATTGTTTTCTGACCCATTTTATTTATTATTTTATTT